AGTCTGGCAAGACAAATTTCTAAAATGTCAGTGAAGAAAAAGTCAACATTGTCGTCCTAGAGAATCAAATTCCGTGCGAACTTCGAACCCTAAGACTTGGGTTCTGATATCTGGAGAAGAACCGATGCGCTGGCAAACATACGACACAAACACGGAAAAAGCGTTACACAAAAAGCCGTCGAGGACAATTATTGCTGTCAAAGGCATCTCATCACCCTTCACAAAACAATAAGCTGCAGAATATTTGATGGAGGGCTTTTTGAGGGGTGATTCCATTTAAAATGGAAAGGAGGCATGACGAACAAGATAATACTTTGGAGCCCCTGTGGCCAGACCCTTAGCCCTGCGTAAGACCAGTCTATCCCGTCGGCCGGTTGACACGCTTTAAAGCTAGGACTCTTGGCGCGTTTTTGTTTACTTAAGGCGCGTTTCGTTGTCTAAAGTGAGGGTAGTAAGCGTCAGGTCCAAGATGGATCGATCTAACTCTCTGCCACATAACACATTTCCCAGAGTAGTGGCGAAAATGCGATTCCCAGGTGGCATAACAGAAGAAAAGGAGGCCTTCAGTGGGGGAGGTGTATTGGAGGTTTGACGTTTCAAGTAGCTGTTTCGTCTACCCATCTTCAGAGACTGGAAAGTCGTGCGCACTTCTCTCCTTATATGGCGCCCCCGCCTTCGTCGACCGCGGAGATAGTTGACGGCCCTGATTGTCTCGCGCCGTGACTGTCCCCTATTCAGAAGGTTCGGAAAGTCAGATAGGGGGGAGGCAAATTGTACGCACGCTATGCCAACTGCTGGAAACCCATTTCACCGCCAACCGTCAAACTGGACGACATGAAGATTCTCAAAGAACTCTTCACAGCCAACGGTCATCTGCGAGCTTTTGTTGGACGGAGTCGAAGGCAATCATGGAAGCGAAATGAAGCACATAGTCAGCCAAAATCGCGGCGGAGCATCCCGTACATGAAAGGGGTCTCCGAAGCCGTGACTGGATCCCTCGCGCCGCTCGGAATAGGCGTTGCCTACAGGCCCGACTCAACAATCCGCCGGCAAGTGGCGCGGCCAAAAGACCCGATCGCTAAGCAGGGGATGTCGGCTGTTTTCTATCGACTTTAATGCACCTGTGGGAAGTGCAACTACGTTGCGGAAACTAGCTGACGACTGCAAACGCGAATGCGCAAGCATAAGTTATCCGTGCGAAGATTGAGCCCAAAGTCGGAGGAAGTAACCCATGCCGCTCAAATGGGACATCTTCAACTTTGAGGCCGTTGAGATTGTGGGCCGACCGATAATCATACGGTAAGGCAGGTGCAAGAAGCCTGGATGTCCACCGACTGTTCTGTCAACCACCACATCAATTTGCCTCCCCCCTATCTGACTTTCCGAACCTTCTGAATAGGGGACAATCACGGCGCGAGACAATCAGGGCCGTCAACTATCTCCGCGGTCGACGAAGGCGGGGGCGCCATATAAGGAGAGAAGTGCGCACGACTTTCCAGTCTCTGAAGATGGGCAGACGAAACAACTATTTGAAACATCAAACCTCCAATACACCTCTCCTGCTGAACTCCTCCATTTCTTTTGACATTTCCTAGATTCCGGCTTAAACCAAGACCAGTTTCAACAGAAAAAAATGTGAAGTAAGGTCGATGTCTAACGCCCACCGCACACGAACTGGGATTTCGCATTAGCGAAAGCTGCTATAAAGGCCAAGTTGGAAAGGAGCCATTGCGACCTAACCCTTCATTAAAAGGGTGACCGAGTTATTACTTTAACTGCCAACCTCCCGACTTTACTTTTAACTAATTGCGATATAGTAAAGGGCATGTATTGGATCTGAGTCGAATCAGCCCCTTTTTCTATTTGTACCTCTTATTCTTCAATGGAAAATTCTGGTCCAACTAAATAATGGTGAGACTAGGCATTGTCTGCGCATTCCCTATGCGCCTTTATCCCTCCTAAAGAAACAGACTTCACTACAATGCTGATTTAATGCACATTAGTAACGCACAAGTTCAAATATCCTGTTTTGCCCGTCAGTACGACGTTAGAACAATGCACCTTATGAGCACCGCGTGACCGATGCGTACTATTTTGCTAACCGTTGATGATGACACGGCTGAATAACCTTGTGCGCTGTCTGAACACGTGCGGAGAGACTAATGGTGTACAGGGAGACACGGCTGGACTGTTCTAGCTTCCATGTTCGTGTATGTACATATGTCCTAGATGTAGTCAGACAGTAACTTCAGGTATAGTACGCATTAGGAGCGTTAGTCGGAGCCACCGACATGGCTTCTTCGGGTGCACAGCGATCGATTTGGAGGTGACCGACTAGGCATGTACGTGACTCGAATGCGCGGTTTCAACGAGGACATTTTCAAAATGTGCATACAATGCTGGTAATTGTCTTTTACCGCATGACAATTTTCCTTTTTCGTGGATACAGCATCCGAAAAGTGTGTGCTGGAACTGTAAACAGCTGTTTACAGTTCCGTCTAGATGTTACAATGTAGGTAGATGTGGGCTATTTCTTGAGTGGTCTTCAGAGGGCTATACGATCGTATTGATATTACAGTAAATTCCAAAATTTCTGACAAGGCTAGTATAGGTTTTCAATCGGCATTAACAATAAGTGAATACTGACAGAATTCGATTGTTACAGGCAGCGGTTCGCAGCATTACCGTTCCATTTGCTTAACGCCTCGCCTTTCCATCCGTATTAGGCTGACTCGGACGAATTTTTACTGCTTTCACGAAATCCGGCCAAACTTTCGATCGAAGGAAAAAGCCCTCTGATTATCTTGACCGATCCATAGGTGCTTGAGTGAGATCTTTGGGATATCATCCTACCTTTTCTTTTGCTAACCTGGTTTACGAGCACCCGTAGCGACGTCACCATAAAACGGTTGTCTTGAAATCACTCGTCAACCATCTTCGTGACATAGCCACACAATCACGACTAAACATTCCCCAACACACCATAGATTTTAAGCAGATCAACGACTTCCTGTACCTGAATATTGGAGACCCATGCGTGCTGCTAAATACGCATCATTCTCGAGAGACAAATTAGGTAGAAGTGTTCCGGCAGATTGTCCAAGTCTGCGCCCGTTGTATTCATCTATGGTAAAGTAGATTTATATGACATCTGCCTCATTCTTTATCCCTAAGCTCACCAGTTTAAAATACCAAGACAAACTGAAGATCTCCGGACAGCGGCATGAGCACAATGACTGGCCCAAATATATTCCCCTTATTCATGCGCCACACATGATCTGGTTCTAAGCTTCCATAAGAACTGGACTTAAGACGTAAGTTACGAACTCAAGTAGATCGTAATTCTTTAAGGGCCATGTTAGTCAGAAACGTTAACAGACTTGTCATCGCTCAAATAGAGAACTTGGTCATCCCCGCGTCATGAGAGTTTCAAGCGCGTCAAATGATGAATGCGCTCGGCTACATGAGAAAGATCATCTTAGTATCGGCTTCACCCAGCTTCAGGATCTCGAGATAAGGTGTTCGTAAAGGGTTAGTGTATAATCACAAATAATTTGCTTATCATCCTTACTTTCAGAACTTCGAAAACTGCAAAAAATAAGTATTTGGACGTCCGCTTCATATATTTTGTCAGTTTGTAATTATATGCATACATAGATGGAGGTATTTGGTGATATTTTAGAAGGGCGAGACCAATTGTTGAAATTATACCCACAACTTGTTTGACCGAATATGTCAGTTCGACCGTCGCGAACGACGATGTCCACCACGTAGTGATAGCAGAATTGCGCAGCACTTGCTGCATTATCTCCTCTCTCACTAGCCCAGATCTGGTGAAAAGACAGAGTACAGACGGCCAGAGGAGAGCTTGGACACAGAGGTTGACAAACCTAAACAGACCGTCTACGCGCGTCAAGCGCGATCTTGTTCCCTCAGTGTTTAACAGACTTTAATAAGCTCGACTCCGGTCTCACATAATTGAACGCCATAAAGGTTGCCTTAATAGAGAGTCACCTGGCGGGCCTCTCAGTCCCCCAGTCACTCACACAGTACTGACCAAGATGACCAAGTTTTCCTGTCGGCTGGAAATCTTCTAAGTCGCGACTTTCAGCGCATTGCGATAGATTTAATTACGTCAGATATACGATATTAAGGATCGCTCCAAATTATCGTGGAGATCGATGTCCCAGTGTCGGTTCTAATATCCTTTTCCGCTCTCATGCCTCATGCCTATCAATCATCTGCGGCTGACAAAGATAAACAGCCTGTTTACGCTTTCCACACACACGGCTGATGCAATATGTCGGCTTTTTACGGGAAAGAGGGTGGTTCTGGACCCATCTGCGTGAAAGTGCCTTATAGGTCCTATCAAAAAGAAGTCACTGGAGTTCAGCTCTCAGTTCTGGGAAGATCAAATTATGTAGCAGCCACTCCAGTTCTCCTTTTCTCCGGCTCCGTTTTGTCGGTCGATGGTCGCGACAATCGTTGCCAGGCCGCTGACACACAACCACCCCCGCCGATTATAACTGGGCCCCCCTCCTGTCCAGCTGCAGTGACCCCCGGCTGCCCCACAAACAATTATCACCTCATGCGCGTCGGACGACCTGGCTTGATAGCCGTAAGCCCCTGAATTATGCTTCCCCCTAATCCTCCCCTAATCCGTCCAATCTCATGATCAGCATCCAACCCGTCACCCCCACCTACTGACACAGACTTTCACTCCCGCGCAAACTACACACCGCGACTGACGCTCTCCGTGAACGGACGCTTATCTCTGTTGCAAGCAAACAGCCAACTTACGGCAACCTGCCCTGTGTACAGAATAAAATAGTCCTCACAGCTCCCTGACGTCTGACAGTAGACGAAACGAACTTATTGTGCGTGGTTTAAGTTGATCTCACATCATTGACCGCCACAAATTGGTGACCCCGAATTTCCGAACACCGGAATTTCGCAAACTCTTCGTCCACAACAACAATCTTCCTGCAACCTACAGCGCAATGTCCCAAGACCAGAAGTCACTCATCAACCCAAATTCTCAAGGAGCTAGCGTAGGCTTGGATCGGCTTGAGGAGGTATTAATGCGCCTGAAAGCCCAGCTCACTGCAGTTACCACTAACGGCCCGCGGCGAACACCAAACCGTCGCCGTACTTCCTCCGTTTCCCACACCCGCCGTTCACAATCTCCAAGTAGCGTCTGCTGGTATCACCAACAATTTGGAGGAGCAGATCGACGATGTCTTCAGCCATGCTCTTTCAAGGCATCTGTAACGGCCTCAGGGAGACAATCCCACCCGACAGTAGAGGCCATTGCTACTGAAAGCGTTGCCAATGTTCACACTCGCCGTTTGTTTCTCTGGGACCGTATCGCTGGCGCCAAATTCCTTGTCGACTCTGGTGCCGAGGTTAGCGTGGTTCCACCAACGCCGGCCGAACGTAAAACCCGCAGCTCTTTTTGTCTAACAGCTGCCAACAACTCCAGCATCCCCACCTTTGGACAGCGCTCCATCACACTTGATTTGGGCCTTCGTCGAATTTTCCGATGGGTTTTCATTATTGCCGACGTCTCCGTCGCCCTCATAGGTGCCGATTTCCTAGCTCACTTCAATCTACTAGTTGATTTGAAGAAACGCCGACTCGTCGACTGCATTACCGACCTTCATGCCCGTTGTCAATCCGATGTGAACCTCTGCGTCAACCCTCTCACTGTTATGCCCATCTCTGACTGTCCTTTCCACTCACGCCTCAGGCAGTTCCCCCGCCTGACCAACACCTCATTTCGAGAAGTGGACATCAAACACACAGTCACCCACCACATTTCCACCACCGGACCTCCCGAATCTTGCCGACCACGCCGTCTTGCTCCGGACCGTTTGAAGATTGCCAAGGCAGAGTTCGAACACATGCTCGAGCTCGGCATCATCCGACAGTCCGACAGCTGCTGGGCATCACCCCTCCATCTTGTCCCCAAGAAGAGCGGCGACTGGCGACCGTGTGGTGACTATCGGGCGTTGAACTCAGCGACGGTCCCCGACCAGTATCCCGTCCCGCACATCCAAGACTTCACTCTTTCGCTACATGGTAAGCGAATATTCTCTAAGATCGACCTTGTGCGTGCCTACCACCAAATCCCGATCGAGGCCAGTGATGTTCCGAAGACTGCAGTGACCACTCCCTTTGGGTTATTCGAATTTACTCGTATGCCCTTTGGTCTGAGGAACGCCACTCAAACCTTTCAGCGATTCATTGATCAGGTTCTGCGAGGTCTCGACTTCGTCTACGCCTACATTGATGATTTGCTGGTGGCTAGTTCTGAGTTCGAACGACTCGACTCCTTCGGCGTTGTAATAAATGCTGCTAAATGTGAATTTGGAGTCCCCAGCCTTATCTTTCTTGGTCACGAAGTGAACTCAGATGGGATAAAGCCCGTCCCGGAAAAAGTTTCGGCCATATCAACGTTCCCCGTCCCGGCAACCATCAACCAACTACGCCGATTCTTGGGGATGGTGAACTACTATCACCGTTTTCTTCCCCATGGTGCCACCATACTGCAGCCTCTCAACAGCCTGTTGATCCACTCCAAGAAGACACTGGTAATGACCGAGGAGGCCGTCAGGTCCTTCAATGACGTCAAGGCCGCACTTGCGGACGCAACATTGCTTGCCCATCCTCGCTCAGATGCCCAGCTAACTCTCATGGCAGATGCTTCCAGCACTGCCGTTGGTGCTTCACTTCAGCAAACTGTTGGTGGTGTTCTACAGCCTTTGGCTTTCTTCTCGAAGAAGCTTAGCCCTGCAGAGACCCGCTACAGTGTCTTCGGCCGAGAACTCCTTGCCGTTTATCTATCCATCCGGCACTTCCGCCATTTCCTTGAGGGTCGTGAATTTGTTGTTCTCACTGATCACAAGCCACTCGTTTTTGCACTGAGGGCCTCTCCCGATCGCTACTCGCCCCGTGAAATTCGTCATCTCGACTTCATCTCACAGTTTTCCTGCGACATCCAACATGTCCATGGTAAGGAAAATGTGGTTGCTGATGCTCTTTCAAGAATCGAGATGGCTTCCATCACAACAGACGCCATAGACTTCACGCTCATGGCTGAGGCTCAACGATTGGATGGCGAACTCCCCCAATACCGCCACGAGAACTCTTCTTTACGCCTTCAAGATGTCCCCTTCCCACTGGCACAGGCACCATCACGTGTGACCTTTCTACCGGACACGAACGTCCTTTTGTTCCAGCAACTTTACGACGACGAGTGTTCAACGCTCTTCACAATCAATCCCACCCTGGAGTCCGGGCGACAGTGAAACTCATCACTGACCGATTCGTCTGGCCCAACATCAACCGGGATGTACGGCGTTGGACCCGCTCCTGTCTACCATGTCAACGAGCCAAAACGCATCGGCATACCATTACTCCGCCAGGAACTTTCGCCACTCCTGATGCACGCCTCAGTCATGTGCATATTGACCTGGTAGGCCCGCTTCCAACATCTAACGGTTCTACGTAAATGCTGACATGTATTGATCGCTTTACTCGGTGGCCGGTTGCTGCGCCCATTCCGGACATCAGTGCCGAAACCGTAGCAAGAGCTTTCTTGACTCATTCGGTGTCCAATTTTGGAGTTCCTGCGACTGTCACCACTGACCGCGGATCCCAATTCGAGTCCACGCTTTTTCGCGAACTCACATCCCTTCTCGGTACCAACCGAATCCGAACAACAGCGTACCACCCTCAAGCAAATGGTCTCGTCGAACGCTTCCATCGACAGCTCAAGACTTCCCTTATGGCCCAGCCCAATCCTTCCCGATGGTCGGATCACCTTCCCCTGGTGCTGTTGTCCCTCCGTTCCACTCTCAAGGCCGACATTGGTTGCACTGCGGCTGATCTGGTCTACGGAACCTCCCTACGACTGCCCGGTGAGTTAGTGTCTCCCTCAAACATGCTAACGTTTTTTGAACCTTGCAGTTATGTGGAGCAACTGCGTAGTGTCATGCGCAATCTCCGCGCGACGCCCCCTCGGGCGTCACCGGCCAATTCCTTCATCCCTCCCGACCTGGATAAGTGCGATTTCGTCTTGGTTCGGCATGACTCTGTCCGACGACCACTCCAACCACCCTATGACGGGCCGTATAAAGTCCTTCGTCGATCTGACAAAGATATTGTCATCGACCGCAACGGCAAGACCGACACAGTCAGCATTGATCGCGTCAAGCCGGCGTTCATCGACGACAGTGACCATTCCTCACCCCAACACTGCACCCCGCCGCAAACACTGATGCCTCCACCTACTGGCGACAGTCCCCCTCCGGTTCGCCGCACACGATCTGGTCGTCACGTCCACTGGCCCGACAGGTTTGTTGCTGGCTAGCATGTCGACGCCTTCACTCCGTTTGGTGTCTGGGGGGGAGTTGTAGCAGCCACTCCAGTTCTCCTTTTCTCCGGCTCCGTTTTGTCGGTCGATGGCTGCGACAATCGTTGCCAGGCCGCTGACACACAACCACCCCCGCCGATTATAACTGGGCCCCCCTCCTGTCCAGCTGCAGTGACCCCCGGCTGCCCCCACAAACAATTATCACCTCATGCGCGTCGGACGACCTGGCTTGATAGCCGTAAGCCCCTGTAATTATGCTTCCCCCTAATCCTCCCCTAATCCGTCCAATCTCATGATCAGCATCCAACCCGTCACCCCCACCTACTGACACAGACTTTCACTCCCGCGCAAACTACACACCGCGACTGACGCTCTCCGTGAACGGACGCTTATCTCTGTTGCAAGCAAACAGCCAACTTACGGCAACCTGCCCTGTGTACAGAATAAAATAGTCCTCACAGCTCCCTGACTTCTGACAGTAGACGAAACGAACTTATTGTGCGTGGTTTAAGTTGATCTCACATCATTGACCGCCACAATTACCCCGTCCGTTGACAGCCGTCCAAGTCATGACTTTTGGCTTGTGTTGATGGTTTTGGGGGGAAGATGAGCTGAAATGGCGTGGGGATGGAGTCTCCAAACTCAACCTGTCTCTCTCTTCTCTCTATCATGCACCGTTCCTATGTCCGAGTCGGCCGGATCTCTGATATTGGAATTGGACGCAAATGGCTGGCAGAGTTTAACACCCGTCTGCGCATGCCCTACACGTACTGACTCCCAGGATTTCATAAAAATGGGGGTAGTCGGCAAGGATCTTACATAATTGAGGGTGCGATAGACGCTGTATTAGGAAGGAACCACTGAGCTCGAATCTCAGCCCACCAGTAGATCGATCCACAAACACGACAGTTCGACCGTCGCTGCCGATGATGCCCACCGTATGCTCCACAGCGGGCTGAGCGCAGGGACAGTGACTTGCGCGTGGGTTAGTTTATAGTGATGGTAGGCTTCCATAGCATCTACGAACTCCCTATTACTCCGCCACCTGATCCCGGTGTCAGCACAGAGTCGATAAGACCGGAGGCGGAAGACAACGCTGGTGGCTGTCACGGCGAAAACCCGCACCTAGATGTACAAGTACACCTCTGATCCCCAACGTACACTAACCAGGACTATATTCACTCAGAAAAAGGAGTGTCTCAGATCTTAGCTGCCACGGCGTGTGCCGGAATCCGAGCCTGTCGCCACATCGCCAGTTTTGGCATTTGTCAGGAGTGAGCATTCCCGATAACGCCTGTCGAACCCACATCTAAGTCGACTGCCCGAGCCTGTCGGCCCTGTGATGTTGAGTTCAATTAAATATAAGGGATCAAGGACGATATTGGCAATATGAGCTCAAATACATCGGATAGAATGGGCGATGCACTTATTAACACTCCATGAGATTACAATGTGCGACTGGAATTAATATACCAAACGCGTCATTAGGTAGTTGTTGGCGTTTGCTTGTGTAACAATACAACTAGAACTAAGAGAAATTATATTAATGGGGCATAATGTACACAACAGTTCAACATTCGTAGAAGAATCGATTCATCAATGCTTCCCGAAATGGACCAAGCAGTGGTGTGTGACTTTTTTATAATGAGACACAACGCAGATACATTTACCTCATTTTGTCTTTCTAAAACATTTACTGCCTTCCGATGGCAAGAACGAATTCAAGGTGGACGTAGGCGCAGTGGCTGGCCAAGTCTATGCGCCCACTACCACACGACATTTCGACCATCGTTGCCTACGTTGTCCACCATGTGCCTCACAGCAAGTTGGAACAGGCACGGTAACTTGCGCGTGATTTAGTTTATAGTGAGTGTAGACTTGCGCTGCGCTCACCACACTCTCTCCTCCTCCCCCAACTGGGCCCGGTGCCAAGACAATGTCAAGAAGACTGGCGACGGGGGATGGCGCAGCCGGTGCCGGACCTTGGTGCTCCACTTCACACCTCCTCGTTCACACAGCAACCAACAATAACAACAGTAACAGGAACAACAGTAATAATAGTAACAACAATAACAGCACCACCGAAAGACGAGAATGGCTGGACAGCCATGCTCACGACCTTTATCTGCAGGTGGAGCACAAGTGCATCTACCGACAGGGAACCGGGTGTCAGAGAAATGACAGCGCATGTCAGGCCGCAAGGACAATGATTTACTGATCCTGGCATAGCAGACGCCTACAGACCTTTAGGTCCTGCATTTGCCTGGGCGTCACCCCTCAAGGCTGGGTAACCAAACAGTCGTAAACTGAGAGGCACTACCCACAAAGCACACACACACATTTCTCACATATATAAGAGTGCCACAGATCACTTAAAGAAGGAGACGTGACAGCCTGGCTCTCAGCCCACCAGTCCGCCACTTCACCCAAGCACACACAAATCGGCTGACTGCATCGACTGAGTTGATGCATCAGAAGGTAACCTTTCAAGCCACAGCGCTTGACGCACACTGATAGTCCCTGACTCAGATACCACATGCAGCAGAGGAGCCTCATGGTGAAGGCACCGAGAAGCACACTTCATACTTGCGTGGAAGATGGCAATTGGGTGCTTGTGATGGACGACGGTGTTGTTTGATGCAAATGTTGTTGGGGAAGATATGATGGCATGGTTTAGCCGGCGGTTGTCTACCGCTGGTTTTTATGAATGTGCATGCGTTCTGACAGGCCCATGTGGCGAGTGAATGTGCGGGAGCAGTGAGGGCAGAATAGATCTGCAGTGTCAGAGTCGGTTTCGGTGGTGGTGGTGGTGGTGGTGATGGTGGACGCTGGGGTGTGTGTGGAGCTAGGCATGCTGGATGTGCGTCTGGACTGCAGTCAATTCCGCTCTCGTTGATACGCATGTGACCTGGATTGCCCATGTGATGAGTGAATGTGCGGGGGCAGCGTGGACAGTGGAGGCGGATGCGACGAATGTAGGTTGATGCTGCAGGCACTGGTTCGCCAGTCTCTGCGTGGTGGTCTCGCAAGTGACCGACCAGGACGATGTCTGAGGTGAAGTTAAGACCGGAATAAGGACAGGTATGGATTGAGTCCACATGCCTGGTGTTGACGGTGGGGGGGGTTGTTTGTTGGCGTCAGGAATGTATGCAGTGTTGGTGGGTACAGCATTCACCGTCAACGCTGGTTGGCGGCTGGTGCATAACCACTGTTTTCTGCGTATTTATGACCAGGCCGAAGTGGTTGCAGGCGACGGCAAAGAGGTACATGTTCTTTTAAAGTTCCCCTTACGAGGTGGCGTTCAGAGCGCAAAAGTCGGCGAAAAGAAGTCCATGGACGGTAGTTCTGAATACACGCGACTGAAAGTGCATCCACCGCTGATTGAGAGCTGGCCGTCCATCTTGTAGGCGTCCCGGAGCGTTCGTCACGTTAGGCATGGCAGAGAACATGAGACTGAAGAGTATAGGCGTGAAGACACAACCCTGCTTTACTCTATTGGTCACTGCAAATGCCTCTGATGCGACTCCATTGTCCGTGACACGTGCCCTCATGCCATCGTGGAGCTGATGCGCCATTTGAGTGAGTCGTCCGGAACAACCGAATTTCTGCATTACTTTGTACAGCCCTTCGCGATTCACTATGTCGAAGGCTTTCGTCAGATCAACGAAAGTAGAGTAAAGATGGATTCGCCTCTCCTGACTCCTCTCCTGCAGGTAACGGGCGGCGAAGATCATGTCGGTGATTCCACGATGACAACGAAAGACGCACTGGCTTTCTGGCAGAAAACCTGTTCCAGATTGGTGTTTAGACGATTGGGAAGAATGTGAGAGAGGATTTCCTCGCTGAGATGGATTTCCTCAGCCTTCCGAGTCGTCTAAGCATCCTGCATCTGCCGCAGCCGCTGTTGCACAGGGCGGCGGCTGAGGTAGAAGGCTGCTTTGTTGTCGTCAATAGGGCGGCTAACGTAGGTTCTGTGCAGACGGTTCTTCTTGGCGAGTAGGTTGCTGGTGGCGGCGTCATTCTTGTGAAACCAGTTTTGATGTCGGCGTCCTGCGTGACCGAGGACATTCAGGGCGTTTTACTGGACCGTGTCTCTCGCTTGACACCATCGGCTCTCCATGTAGGCATTCTCGTCGACGGCAGCGACGGAGACTGGAAGACAGACTAGTCGTTGTGCTAATTCATTGTTAGAATGGGGATGGTGAGTAGACAAAGAGGACAAATCAATATTCAGCTTAGCTAAGGGTCGCTTGCCTTAAGGTCTCCTGCGAGGCCGTAGGCGGATCTTCATATAAGAGATGAGGAGGTGATGGTCGATCTACCCGTCGGCACCCAAAATTGCCTTTGTCAAAAACATGTCCCACTGGTCTCGTCCTCGGATGAGAATGTAGTCCGGCAGGTGCCATTGTGGTGACCTAGGGTACACCTAAGTCGCCTTCTCTCTCATCGGGAGGGAGAAGAAGGTATTGGTCAGGCTAAGATTGTGTTCTGTGCAGGTTCATAGGGGGAGTAGGCCATTCTCATTGGCGCTGTCGAGGCCATGGTGACCCAGCACTCCTCTCCAGGCAGCATGGTCTATGCTGCCGGGGGCGTTGAAATCACCAAGGACAATCAGCTTATCCTCCTTCGGCATAGTCGCCAGGAGAGCGTGCAGGTCCTCATAGAATTCATTCCTTGCCGCGTCAGAGATGGTAATCGGGAGGCCGTAATTGGTGGCAAACTTGCCACCCCGGAGAGGCATTCGTCCAACCATGTCTTTCTGGACGGCAAAGATGACATCTGCGTCCCGTCGCTCTGTCTTGGGGCGACCGCCCCGGACGGTGTAGCCGGCACCAATTTTCTCCAGTTAGCTCTGTTCGGAGAAACGGGCCTCGCTGGATGCAGCGACGTCCACCTCATAGCGCGTCAGTTCCCGAGCTGCTAGCGCCGTCCTTCAATTTAGCCGGTTGCTCCTCGAATTATCAAAACGGGGACGAATATTCCAGGCTGCCGGAGCGGGCGAACTCACCCTAGCAGCCTGTGAGGTGGGACGACGGGGGGAGAAGAAAGAGAGAGGTTTTTGTAGTATGTTATAACCTACAAGGACAAGAGCGACTGGAATGGCCATTTCTGGCTCATTAGTCGTCGTCAGCCAGTCATATCCTATCCGAACATCCGAAGCTCGAACTCGTGACCTTTTAGTTAGAAGTCAACGCCCCAAAGCGTGGAACAACTGGGATCCCCTGGCGTTCCACACGTCGGGGTTGGGTATGACTGGCTGACGACGGGTAATAAGCCAGAAATGGCCATTCCAATCTCCTAGTCTTTGTCGGAAATACCATTCTGCCTATATCGTGAGCCTCTGTGTGACTGCTGGTTGGGCTCGAGAGAAAGCCCGTAAGACACAAATGAACGAGTGAGTTCGGTGAGCGCCCCCTACCACTGTATATTCCCGATCGAAATCGACAAGTCAGTGGGACGTGAGTCCCAGCATTTGTTTATGGCACCCCTTCTAGCCCCTTCCCCTTGCGGCGAAAGCAGTGCTGTCCCTAGATAGGGTTGCTTAGTCGTCTCAGACGGCTGCCGAACTCCACTGCGGACCACGACTGTGGTTTAGTGGGAGAACGAACCGAGTTAGTCTGGGCCGCCTACGAAGTTGCATGTCGTTTTATCCGTAAGACTTTATGAAGTGGGTGGGAGGCGGGAGGATAAGGAATGAGCTGACTGATTGCAGAGACGTAGAGAGTTGGCAGACAAATCCAGCAGACGGTATTCAGCAGAACGGTATTTGGCTTACTTAGTGATCACTAACCTTGTGTCTTCCTGCGGGGTTGCAAACAGAGGCGTTTGCATTTGCAGCTGGCAGGTCTTCCACTCGCTGGCTCAGTTGATTGCTAAAAGGCAAGCGGTCAGCAGACAAAAACAAAAAAAACGGTAATGAACTTACCGGGGGCCACTTAACTTGTAGTCTCCTGCGGGGATGCCTGCGGGTTGACTCCTTCGGGCTAACCGGGCTTCGCTTACGTTGTGGCCTCATGAGGATTTGCATGTCGAGCCTCATCTCGGAGATGACGAGGCGGTGATTCATCTGGCCAGCGGTGGTAGGAGGGAAGCCGAGCTAATTTGTGTGGAGATGCACACGCCTATACCCTTATCTGGTTTAGCCGGCCACCAAGGCGGTTACCGGGCTGTGGCCGCAAGGCACAGCCCAGCTTCTTGGAGCCACATATGAGGGTTGAGTGCCAGTTAATGGACACTAGGCGTAGTCAGCACCTGCAAGCGAGCGAGCAAGCGACCTATTACGACCATCACGGGGACCAACAACCGGACACCACGACACCCCATTTCTACATGCCACATGCCTAAGCACGCATGTGTCATTTAGGAGGGTCACTGATCCCATACAAGCGAGTATCATAAAGGCCAGATTCAGAGGGAGCAAGAGCAGTGAACCTCAGTTCTAGATAAGACCGAGTTATCCCGTCAGTTACAAACTTTCCAACTCCTCACGGTAGATTCGGCAGATACTGTCCGATTGTATTTAAGGTGTCAGTCTATCATGGTATGGATTCCTTTTCAGCGTCGACCGCACACTCAATTCCCGTCTTCCTTAGCTGCTTGACTACCGAGTTCGCTAAATGGCCGATTTTGGTGACGTAGCGTAAAAACTGTCATCTTCATGGGCCAAACGCGTAATGTTGGTGGGTCAAATCAGTCTATGACGCAATCCCACGCTAAAACCACATCGAGAAAAGCCAAGCGAAACGACAACATCAGAACGTACCTAAATGTCGACACCGCCCAGTGAAGAACAAAGGCAGTGGGTGGAAAACCAGTTTGCGAAATTGAAAAGTCACACCAGTTGGAGTGTCCGCGCAACCGTTAAATGAACACCAACTTAAACAAAAGTGAATAAATGCGGGTTTAGGAAATGTTTAACAAGTAGAATAACTACAAAAAGTAGTGTATAGACAAAAATGTGAAAAGAGTCGCCACATACTAGTCTTTTGCCTCGCACGACCATTATTTGCCGAATTGCACTATTCGCACGCGAAAATGTGCATATTTTCATGTAGTACGTTTCGCCCGTCATAATGACAATAGTAAGTTGCATCAAGTGGCTGCTGCATGAGTAATGTACAATTTTTCGTTTATTACTAGCGTGCACGCATGTGATCAGATAGGCTCATATGTGCCCTACGCATGGTCTGTTTGTGTGGGTATTGAGAGTTTTAGCAAGTAGGTTTGGGCCACGCGGTTTTCCGTGGAACTTCTTGAATAAGTATGTGGTCTGATAGACCCATGCAATGACTGAATGTCGTTGAATAGTGCGGCCAGGTAACGCCTGCGTGAGAGGTGTTAGCTGGGGCTCCTGTCGCACCACGGTGGTTTCACAGTGACTGGCCAGGCTGGTGCGCTATTCGAATGTGCGGTCCAGTTGAGACGAGTGGGAACTGTGCAGTTTCGTGAGTGTGGTGGTATAGGTGGAGACTCTTTTTTGTTCTAACATGAAGGATATCCACAGTGCTGATGTTGGCGGTGGTTTTTTATGATGCAGGCGAAGGTCTTTTGTGGCGATATTGTGATAAATCCGCAGATGCTCAGCGAGACCAATCTCTTGCCTAACTGTCATTTGACTGTGCGAGCGGTATGGAAGGGTAAAGTCCCTTCGACTTTGGTCGGAAAACTTGAGTCTAACGGACCTCTCTCTTCGTTCTGTCTCCCGTTATTTGACTGGCCTCGGCGGCGGCCGCTTTAGTTTTTACGGCAGTGTCACGCCCGCCGAACCCCCATGCAAGGTTGTCCCAGATCTCTAAGTAAAAAGTTTGGTTTTTAAAGGTTCTCGTGGTATTTTTATATTGTCGGTTCTGTCAGTTTGGTCTGCGTTTTCCACTAATGACGTTATCATAGAACAGTTTCAATGGCATTCACTCATCGGCTATTCTTGCGACGTGATCGCTTGATTGCAGTTACACTTGCCTCGGCATAATGTAGGTGTTAAGAACAGCCGTCCTCTGCAGCGCCCCAGTGCCCGTGATCCTTCCCCACCACTTCATCATCAATGTTCTCCGCAGACAGCTGAACTGAAAGTTGTATAGCTCTTCTGTATGGCTTTCGTATACAGACCATTCTGGACAGCAGTCCTGTACTTTGTCAGATTCGTGTTGATGGAGTGTAGCGGACTGCTGAGGCGAAGACTGACTTTGGAAATCTGATTGGTGATTTGGTCGTTGGGCTTTATGTTTCTTAAAATGGTGTTCCCTAGGCAAGCGGATCTGTCCAAAAATGAGAGCCGGGCTTCATTGAAAATTATCTTGCTTTCGCTAAAGCTAGCATTTAATGTTGGGTTTTACTTAGTCACTACCTGGCCCGCGTTAATGACCAGTCCGAATTTTTGAATAACCTAGACCAAAGAAGTCCACTTCCCACTCTCTATCCACCATGGTTGTGATACTAAACTTGCAATCGTCCATGAACAAAAGGTTATGAAAAGTGGCATGTGATGCTTTTTTACCTCCAAACGCCCGATCTTCAGTTTTCCCTGTCAACCTGACGGTTGGGGTTGATTCCAGACCGCTCTTTACGGTAGGTATTTATCAGCCTGGCGGAGAACACGAGACCCATGAGGGCTGCGGCAAGTACGCATTCCTGTTTGACCGCACGTTTTAGCACTGATATTTTTGTAACTGGTCTATTGCTTGCGACGTGTGCAAGCATCCCATCGCGCAAGTGTCTTACAATCTGCATAAATCAC